TTCTCTATCCTTTCTCTTATAAAGAATCTAAATTGTCGATGATTTTCTGTTAGCATGGCAACCCTTGCAAACAAATGTCTTCAGCGCCATCTATTGATTGGATTTATCCCAAAAGCGATCATGCAAAATTTAAACCTCATTTATTTTTGCCATAATTTTTGACCTATTGTAGATATTGCAATGAAATTGGTGTCATATGAAAGGTATAATTATATACAAAAACTTTACTTTAAAAAATAAAATATATTATTTATTTTAATTTATATATATATATATATATATATATCTTTTCAGTTGAATGTTTGGATCGTTAAATGGATCGCTAAAAATTATCAACACTTTCCACAAAAAGGATGATTCTGTCACAGTCACTTATCGTGCTTTAAGGGGTGATTATGGTCATCGTTTCGCTCGATCCGACGAAAATATCGCTGCTGAAAGTGAAAGTGTTGTCGACCCGGCCCGAATGTGTCGATTCCTCATCGTTCTCAGGAATTAGGTCTGTCTCATCAACCCACGCAAAAACGGGCCCAGCTGAAGAACAACATTTTCTTTAGCGATAACACATTTCCCATTCGGTGGGAAATTGTCGTATTTTGGAAATCTCAAGTATGTCATTGCATCCCGAAAAAGTCACTGTTTTTGAACGCTCTTTGGACCGAAGATGTGATTGAACCTTTCATCTTCGAAAGGGCCTATAAAACAATTGTAGCCGTCAATTCGGAGCATTATGGTCATTTGATAATATACTTTTTTCTGCCTGCTATTGAAGCATACGTTTTGGAGAATATGTAGTTTCAAGACGGTGTAATTCTCGTTGACTGCGTAATTTCTCGTCGTGTCGATATCATCGTGGCCATCAAGATCATTCGATATGTCACTATTACAAGTTTGGTTATGGAGCTATGCGAAAGACCGTGTTTATGCAGATTACCCTTGAACTCTTGAGTACTTGAAAGGCAATATTCGTCAAGTTTTGCAGTGGTGTTTGGCACATAATATCAACGTTTAAAGTTTATAATAAAGAAGATATATCACAAAAATATGTTGTATGTGTTTTATTATATGATGAACTAAATCGGTTAAAAAATCCTCGACCAGAAAATTGTCAATTCAGAGACCCTTTACGGATTATACTCCGTGATCTTCATCTCGAATATATACAAAACTCCTATTCATTCAATTCTTCCACAAACGTATGGAAATGTATGTAGTGATATAAGATAAGGTTGTTACAGAAGAATTTTATCCGAAATATGTAAATTAACACTAGAACGCCGAAGGCAGTCATTTTGACCGCTTTAAAATTTCAAGTACAAAAGCAACTGTGTATTTAATGACACTTTTTTTTAAAATTTGATTAATTTTTTATAATAAACGTAATTCTATAAGGTACCAAAAGTCACCAAATTTAAAAAAAAAGTGTCATTAAATGCACAGTTGCTTTTGGACTTGAAATTGGAAAGCGGTCAAAATGACTGCCTTCGGCGTTCTAGTGTTAAAATACTGTAACAATTCCTTCAACATATCACACCACCCTCTTAAATTATGCGTATGATTATTTTTTATTAGAAAAAGTTTATGTCTATTTCTAGTTTTTTTTTTTTTAATTTATGGGTCTTGACATCCCTCATTTGTACTCATTATAAAACAAATGAGTTCAAAAAATCCTAGTATTTTTTTTCAAAAAATTATACCACCTTTTTCGTATTTGTTCATTTCACTCCCCATTCAATCCGATTCACCCAAATGAATTAAATGAATAAACAATGACAAAGAACAAAAGAACCAAAGTAGGATATTTGATAGTCTATTTCATTACCAACACACGCACACACTCAGGTATGGTTAATTTTGAAGGCTTCCATCGAGCAAAGAAACAAACACTCTCACAAACAGGGGGATATAAACGAACATCGCTGCAAAATTCAAAAACTTTTCGGGTTTCAGTGTCAGTTAATTTTTCGCTTTGCTTTGTTTTTGTTGTCGTTGTTGTCATTTTATCAACATACACATTAACATACTAATCTGTCACAACAGTGATTGTTCTACGGTGGCAGTTATCACCGGGACACACGGTGTTCCAGTCGGTATTTCTGTATAAAAGGATGCTCTTTTGTGGTTTAAAAGCACATTACCATTCAACAGGTCAAACAGAGTGCATCGTCATCAGTTGAGTTCAAGTGACAAATAAATATTTTGTGGAGTTTTTTAGAAACAGAATAAAAAACAAGTAAATCAGAAAATAACAGCAGTTGGAGTTTATTGATACTCAATTTCTGAAATCAAGTGATTTTTTTCGTGTCTTCAACAAAACTCAAAATCAAAAGGTAAACATTTATTTTTAAGAAGTGAAAATGAACAGTAAACGCTTAAGAATTATATAAATTCTCTCGAATAATATTCATTGCGATTTCGGGAAGTGTCCTTTGAGAGTAGAAAATAAACTTTTTATTTAACAGTTCCGCATACTTTGCTTGACATTATTTTTATTGGCAAAACGCCTAAAATTGTTCCTATTACTAAAGAGAGCCTAAAGGAATAACTGATTTGATTAAAAATTATAAAGATTGCAATATTCTTTCGAAACTTAGATCTAGTTCGTAGATAATGGCTAGCAATTCGTTAACATTTTGCAAACTAAAAAATGTCATATGAAAGGGATTGAGGGACTTTTTTAACAAAGCTCGAAAATATTTTTAAAGCATCCAAACCTCCATATAGACCATCCAGTTTTTTATAATAAAATGGCACCTCTATACATAACCTGCAAAATATTTTTGAAACATCCACGCCTCTATATAGACCCTGCAAAGCATTTTTTAAAAACTCTACGACTCTATAAAGACAATCCAAACAAATATTTTTAAAACAACTCACGCCTCTATATAGACCCTCGATAATATATTAAAAAAAACATACCTCTATAGACATTTCAAAAAATATTTTGAAAAACCGCGCAAAATATTAAAAAACAAGCCTACATATGATACTTAAGGATACTTTCGAAGTAATTACTTGGAAGTATTAAATTTCATGTTATATAAAAACATAGTCCTGCATTATAGACACTTAGCTTGGTAAACTGGGGTATGAACTGAAAAATACCAAAAATTTAACAGGACATAGATATTAATTGACAGTTTTCTAGTCGATGATGTTTTTTACCCATAAAGTTCATCGAATTGCCAAATCACAGTTACTTCGTGATGGGAAAATGTGTATAGGACGGTGAAAATACCTTAATCGGATGGATCGAGTTTATATGGCATTTATATACTAACTATGGGCTCATATTTCTCTATTGTGAACTTTATGACTGGAGGAGGTATTTTATCCCCTAAAATAACAAATTACAGTCACTTTGTTGGTGGAAAATGTGGATAGGACCAGCAGGTTCATATTCCGTCACCAGTCATGTTTGCTCAAAATATGGACTCACATTGAAAGAAAGCCAGATTTGTTTTCAATCTTTTGAACCGAAATATCAAAATACATTTTGAAAGTGCACTCGGTTAGGGCTTTCAAAATATCTAAAACCAATTCAGACACGTAATTCTATGAAGGGACTACTTAAAAACATTAACCTCTGTTAAGAAATGTATGCCAGGAGGTATTTTATTCACTAAAATAATATTTTATTCAATTACACAGCCACAGTGATTAGAAAATGTGGCTAGAACCAACAGCTTTATATTCCGTCATAAGTCATCAGTCATTTTTGGACGCACGTTGAAAGAAATCCATATTTTTTCAATATTTTGAATCGAAATATCATAATACAGTCGCTTTGGTTTGAAAATTCGGCTAGGACCTTCTGAATATTTAAAATCATTCAGTCAGATACTTCGAAGGGTTAAAAACATTAACCTCTATTGAGAACTGTATGCCAGGAGTAGGTATTTTATGTTCTAAAAAAACAAATTACAGCCAATATGATTGAAAGATGTGGATAGGAACAGCAGCTTCATATTTCGCCATAAGCCATAATTTTTGCTCAAAATGAGGCGAATTCCCCTTAATCTAACCCTTCAGCAACAATCAAATGTCATTTTGTCTTAAATAAATAAATTTCCATCAATTCAAATCGATTTCGACAATTGTTCAAATTAACATAATATTCATAGTTCTACGTTTTAGAAAGGTATCATTATTGATATACGTAAAACTACAACATCTCCCCCTATCCAATAGTGAAAGTTCCATCTCATTATCTCAATTCATTACAAAGTTATAGCCATTTGAAGATAAGGTTGTGTCAAAATGTAGCGGCTACACGATTCTGTTTGCCTATTACCTCAAATGAGAAAAATGAAATTGCAAATGCACAAAATTCGACGATGACTAGAGAAAGCTGTGTTACCGGATCGCATCCACAAAAGTGTTTTGCTAGGTTGCTAATTGTGAGCATACTTTTAGGCGTTACATTAAAAGGCTGTGCCTTTGAAAATTTTTATTTATTAATGTTGCGCCTGAAAGTATGCTCACAATTTGATAACTAACACCAGAAAATACATAAAACCAACAATCTGGCATCTCTGATGTCTGAAATTTTTATATTTTTGAGATTTGGAATTTCTTCGATTTTTTCATTTACGATACTAGGAAAACGGAATCGTGTAGCTGCTAGCTTTTAAAGGCATGGAAGGAAATGAGAAATTAATTAAATAATGGTAATTGCTTTAAGAAAATATGTTCCCATCGACACTATGCAGTAACTTCTTATACCAGCGCAAAGCAAAATATCTGTCGGTCTGTCTGACATTAGGATAATACATTATAGTCTTAAGGATTACTTTATATTGTTTTTAATTCTAATCTTATTGAAAAAAAAAGACTCAATAAAATATAACTTATAACTTATAACTTACTTAATTTTTTAATTTTGTTGTGTTTTGATTTCCCCTAAATAGAACACATCCTTGTCATTTATTTTGTTTGACTTGAATGTTTGTTTACATTTCCTATCTTTTTATTAATTTTGTTTTCTATTTTTTTTCTTTTATAGCTCAAACATGGTCTCAGCCGTTCGTCTAGTACTCATTTTGGTTGCTGTTGTTGCTTTGATGACAGCCAACGCCAATGCTAACAATTCCCGGCCACCACGCAACAATGACATATCGAATATGGCTGATGCAATGAAATATTTGCAAGATTTGGATACCTATTATGGAGATAGGGCACGAGTTAGGTAAGTAAAACAAACGAATAACATACGCACGGTGAAATATGCTAATCAAGAAAATATTAACATTTTTGTTTTTTCGTTTTATAGGTTCGGCAAGAGAATGCCTTTGATTCAAATGTTGAGAAATCATTTTACCAATGATGGTGAAATGATGGGCCATCCCTTGGATATGTCTAATGTTGAGGAACCTTTTTAAGTGAGAGTCCTTAATATGCCTACCCCAAATGATACTACATATCGTCGTCCCCACACACACACCCCCGCCCTCTATAATTAATGACCACAAACGAAGAAGCTGTACACGTCTATCCTTAATCTCTCACCTGTAAATAATACAATGGAAGCGAAGCAAAATAAAAAAATCATTATTTATTTAAAATATATGTTGAATATATATTTATTTTGAAGTAACAGTTTAACATGAAATTTGCATTATAAAATAATTATGGAGCAACTTATATCGAAATAAAAATAATAATAAATTCGAAAATAATATATAGTAATTTATTAATGAAGGGTTTGGCAATTCTATTAGAAGTTGGGACTAATTAACATCTTAAGTATATCACGCAGAAGTTTATAAACTTCTCTCGAACCTTAAGGTAATTATGGGTAAATAGTAGTAAGATATCTAACTGGAAAATGTTAATAATTAACGAATATCATATAATTCTGTAATAGATATAAAATCTAGTTGCTCAAACTATGATATGTTTGGAGATCTCATATATAGATTTGCACAAGGTTAAGGCCTTACATTATATAATATATCCGGAGTCTTTTGCAAAATCACCCATGACACCTTCCATACAATTTCGGTATAGAAAAATTATCAAATACTTCTTTTATAAAATTTTCTCTACACCACACTTATTCTAATTAAACTCTTAACTTACATATGTAAATCTTAATCTAATAAAACTATTTGAACACTTTAGCTATAACTAATTTTTAAAACTAGAAAACTTCACTAAAATGGCAATTTGGTTGTATGCTCCATATGCCACTTTTAGTTCGGATTCTACAAACTATTATCACAGTTTCTTAAATGGGTAGCAGTAAAGTCAAGCCAGCACAGACTGTAAGAAATAATTTTGAATTAGTAAATGTATAAAAATAAAATTTCCAAACTTGTAAAACTTACCCAAAACCAGACCATAAAATACACCAAACGTAATAGCACAATATGACTCCAGTAAGACACCAATAATATTGCTGCCAATAACACTACCCGAACGTCCCAACATTAGGCAAATGCAGACAGCTTTCCCTCTAAAATAAAATTATAAAACAAATAATTCAAAACGTTATATAAATCTCAAAATAAAAGATAGAGCGATGATTTGTAGAAAAGTTTTTTTCTAACGACTAAAAAGCTAGAATCGTGATTTAAAAAAAGTTTTCAATAACCAATAAATTTTCAAAAATAAAAATTGTTATAAAAAACTATTTTTACACCCGGGCGGTATAAAATATGAATCGCACATTTATGAATAGATCCCAATTTGTCTGAAACGGATTTGGTCCAAAGAAACATGTGGTCTAAAACCAATATTTTTATGAGACAGCAGTAAAAGCAACAATCCCATGGTACGATCAGGATTGTCGTAATGCTACTGAGTTGAAAACGCAGCGTATAGGTGCAGGCAGCATGTTGAGGATCTGAAAAATTTTCTGGTATCGAATAGTAACGATGAAGAAGATACCCCAGAACCAATAAGAGATGACGATATAGATTGTATACCACCCGGCCAAGATGACGTCAGAAACGCAATTAATCGGCTAAAGAATAATAAAGCAGCAGGTGCTCAACTATTCCTGTGTCCCGTGCAAAAAGAAGATAAGAATAGCAATTAATTGGCTGAAGAATAATAAAGCAGCTATTCCAGGTCGGTAGTCAGAGGCTGATCAGGAGCATGCACCAACTGATTAGTACAATTTGGCTAGAAGAATGCATGCCCTCTGCATCCTGTCTTCTGTGGAAAAAAGAGACAAGATGTGTGATATGCGCCAAACATAGAGGAATTAATATCCTTTCCATCGCATATAAACTGCTATCCGGCGTGCTGTGTGGCATTATTGAACCATACCAATGCGGCTTCAAACCTGGCAAATCCACCAATCTAGATTTTACCCTGCGGCAAATCCTGGAACAGACCCACGTCGACATTCGTCGACTATAAAGCCGCATTCGACAGCCCTATATGTTCTGAATTAATACGTCTATGCAGGATAACTTTAACTGGCTCAAGGTCAGCAGTTAAAGTCGGAAAGGACCTCTCAGATCCTTTTTAACATCCTGCTGGAAAAGGTCATACGAGATGCAAATGTGAACTGAAATGGCACTCCGTACACAAAACAGGATATTTTACTCGCCTATGCCGATGACATCGATATAATGGGTCGAAGGAGTCTGGCAAAATTGATCCTGCAGTAAATGGCGAGAAGACCAAGTTAGTGGTATCAATGCGCAACACGTCAAGTGGACTTTGAACAACTGTGGAACTTGTAAAATACAGCTTTGAGGTAGTCAAAGATTTTATATACCTTGGTACCGCCATAAATAAAACTAATGACATCCTTTTTGAAAATAGGAGGAGAATAGTGTGGGCCAATAGATGCTACTATAGTCTATGTAAGCAATTCAGAAACACGGCCACCTCTCGCCTGACCAAACTCACACTCTACAAGGCGCAGATACTACCCGTGTGAATCAAAAGCATGGATACTTACGCAAGCAGATGAGGCAGCTCCTGGAGAGTTTGAGAGAAAGAGTCTCCGAAAGATCTATGGGCCGATCTGCGTCGACGTTGAATATCGCCGTCAAAAGTACCATAAGTTGTACCATCTATTCTCGGACATCGACATAGTTAGACGTGTCGAGTTGTAGCGACTACGTTGGCTAGGTCATGTTGTGAGAATGGATGAGGATGCCCCAATACAAGTCATATAAAAGCGAGCCAACTGATGTTTCACGCAGAAGGGGAAGGACAGGAATTCGAAGGAAGGAAGAGCTGAGCATATTATCAACGCGCCTTTAAATCTTTTTTAAGCTCGACTTATGGAACGAATGTTCTGTCAAAAGCCAACTAAGAAAGAAAGTACATTTTTGCCGTATCAAGCTCCAGTCGAGTACGGTTATAGCGAACTCGTAGGGACCAAGCAAATTAATTCGTTATAGAAGAAGTTTGTTATATCCAACGTAAGGCAAAATATATTTTAGTATGAAAAACATATCCATGATTCGCTAGAAGAGTAAGGATGGATTTGTATCAAAAAAGAAAAGTTCATTATAACCGGTGTTAGTTATAGGCGTACTCAACTGTATATGTCCTCATTAGCCACAAGGTTGAGGATTTTTTAAAAATATATATTCTGTATGGACTATTTACTACTTAAGGTCTATTTTATCGTGGATTAAAAAAAATATATATTCTACGAGTTTTATATTATCCTCGATTTTTTGAGAATATTTTTCACGTTCTATTTTTTTATATATATGAAAAATATTGTTTTGTACTCACCTCAAATGTGTTGGTACCAAGTCCACCACAGCTCCACTTAATATCGATACGCAGAGACCCGGTAGCATAACAAATAAAATGAAACATGCCACAATTGCAATGGGTTCCATTATCCAATGTAACACGATGCCACATATTGCGGATACAACCAGAAGCAAAAGTATGGTACGTTTACGACCCAATGGATTAAGGATGGAACCCAAAACAAAATACGCTCCCAAATACACCAAACCAAATGTTATTGAATCAATATAGGATTTTCTCGTTATCGTATCATCACAAACCTAATAAGGAGAGAGGGAGGAGAAAATAAATAATAAATTCGAGTAATGATTAATTTCGATACTCACATATTCAGTTGAATTGGAATTCTGCTGATCCATTGAGGCATCAATAACTTGACATATACTCATTTGGGTTTCATCATCAACGGAGCCCAGCCGGTTTTGAATTGTCGGATACCAAAGGCCCATGCCGGAGTTACTGCAAAATAAAAAAGAAAAAATAAATTATTTATAAGGGAACCAAGAATTTTGATATTCAGATGATACTGGGAACAAATACCACTTGATATTTTGAATTTAAAAATAACCAATTAGTACTTAAGTTATTCCTTTTGAAAACCCACAAATATCTCTTGCCGAAGTGATGGTAGCATTTAGGAGCAAATTATTAATTCCATAACTAGAAGATTTTTGAAGGTATTAGTGTTTAGAGTTATGGAAGTTCGACTTATATTCAAATTCGACTTATAGGCAAATTCTTAATTACATAAATCGAAGTTTGTTGGAGATATTGGTGGTTCGAGTTATGGAACTTTGACTTATATTCAAATTAGGAGGGAAATTATTAATTCCATAACTCGAAATTTTTTGTAGATAATGGTGGTTCGAATTATGGAAGTTCGACTTATATTCGAATTTCAATTTTTTTACTCCATTCTGAAATGTACTTACACAAAAAATACTCCACACATTACAATACAGCAAGTGACAAAATTCACCAGATGGGGCTTCTTGAACAAGGGTTTTGTATCGACCCACATTTGTTTCATTATTTGAACACTGAAAATAATATTTAGAAAACAATAATTAAATTCTCACTTTCCTCTCTCTCTCTCTCTCTCTCTTAATTTTTTACTCCCACTCACAATGATTTCGATGTTTGCAGCAATTTATCACTTTCCGTGGGGTTTTCATCGTATATTTTATAAATATTAAAATCGGCCAAAGTTTTTCCCGTATTCAATTTAGCAATCCAATTGGTAGCAGCAAATGCCTCCTCCTGTTTACGTATCGACATTAAAATCTTAGGACTATCAGGTAACTTCGACATAATCAAAATGGCAATTAATCCAGGCAATATATTAAATACTGTCAACAGACGCCATGGACGGAATGCAAAACTATCGGAAATATCGATAGACCAATCCATGGATAATATCAACCAGGCTACTGCCGGTACATAAGTCATAGCCAGAGCCACAAACATACTGGTGAAATTGATGACCACCGGTCGATGACGAATCGAAACAAATTCACCCAAATATGCATAGGTCGTTGATGATGCGCCAGCAATACTACGGGGGAGAGAATGGGCTTGAGATACTTTTTATAAGAGGTCTTTTTTCATTTCTACTTACAATATTCCCACCACAAATCGCAGGAATACA